AACAAACAAAAAACCTCACACCGGGCGTGTGTGTGCGTGCCCAAGATCCTGAGAGGAGAATGGAAGAGAAGGGATTGCGGCATAGCCATCCCCACTGGGGAGTGATTTCTCACTTTCTATCTCTCTGTCTCTGTCTGTCTGGCGAGCACACGCACCCTATAGCAAAAAACTCTAAAAAACAAACAAACAAACAAAAAAAACAAAAAACAGTGTTTGATGTAGCAACACAAGGTTTTGACAGGGCTTCCTGAAAGTCTGGTATCTGAGTGGTAGCCAGAGGGGATGGAAGATGACAGGTCATGAGAGGACAAAAGCATTGGGTGGACGGGTGGATGACCTGTAAAGAAATCTCCACTGAACCATTTGAAAGAGGAGTAGCATCAAAAATTCCAGTTCTGGGGAACCAGCAGTTAGCGTAATGGCTATGTCGCTGGACTCCCATGTAGTCGACCGTGGTTCGTGTCCCGGACCCGGTAGCTTAAAACTCACGCCAGGCGCGTGTGCGTGCATGCCCAAGATCCCGAGAGGAGAATGGAGGAGAAGGGATTGAGGCGTGGCCATCCCCCTGGGGGGTGATTTCTCACTTTCTGTCTCTCTGTCTCTCTCTGTCTGTCTGGCGAGCGCATGCGCCTTATAGCGAAAATCTCTCCAAAAAAAAAAAAAAATTCCAGTTCTGGCTGGCTACTGGGATTCTACAGGCTCTTCCTTTCTTGAGATGACACACCTTCCCCCCCAAATACTGGAACGGGAGTGAAATAAAATTTCTGATAACTGCTCAGAATACTGAACAGAAATCCATACGTAATTTCATTCAGTATCATTTTCTGCCCCTACCTGGAAACTTCTCAAGTTAATTTCTCTTGCTGTAGCTAGATTTCCCAAATGAGAAGCTAAACCAAAAATTGTGCTGAATATTCAACAAGGCTAAAGCAGAGAATCGCAATGGGGCAATGGGAGATTTAAAGCAAATATGTAATTCAGTAACTACATTTCATATGGGATATGTAGACAACACGCTTGTGAATAGCAAGGGTCAGCAATTAGGCCTACTTTTTTTTTTTTTTTTTTTTTTTTTTTTAATTTATTTATTTATTTAGGAAGGAAGGAGAGGTTTTTGCTATAGGGTCCATGTGCTCGCCAGAAAGAGAGAGACAAAGAGACAGAAAGCAAGAAATCACTCCCTGGGGGCAATGGCCATGCCGCAATCCCTTCTCCTCCATTCTCCTCTAGGGATCTTGGGCACACACACACACACACACACACACATGCCCAGCGTGAGTTTAAATCACCCGGTCTAGGACTTGAACCGCAGTTGATTACATGGGAGTCCAGCAACATAGCCATTATGCCAACTGCTGGTCCTAACTAGGCCCACTTTTAAGCGATGTTTTATTGGGACATGGCTTTGTCCACCTGGTAGCACACTGCCTATGGCTTCTTTCTCTCCTCACAGGCAGAGATGGTGGTTCTGTTAGAGACCCTAGAGTCCACAATGACTAAAATATTCACTATGTGAATGTCCCTCACAAAAGCTGTGCTGATCCCTGGTGCACAGTATATGGTAAATGCTGAGAGGCAAATGAGGTTTATGATGCAGAGCTGACACCACTGTTTTTCATCTCCTGCCTAGGAATCTTTCTGGTTTGAAATCAACACAAGACCTTACACAATCGTGACCCCAAACACAGTGTTCTGTCTCCGTCAAGTCAGGGGATGCCACTGTTGTCCCAAGTAATTTAGGTCTTCCTGAAAATGAAGGTACCTGGTACCTGCCCGCAGAGACTGATTACGCAGGTGATTCTGTGGAAGAAAATGCTGCTGGACTTACTCAGTCACTGACGGGCAGCTCACATGAGTTTTCGGCACCCCGTAAAGCCATCTCTCCTTCTTCCAAGCTGCAAGTGATCCTTTTCTCACTGGAGAACTTTTCTTTAGAGCCTTCAAAAAGAAGAATTCTTAAGTCCTTTGTTTCATACTCCCTAGAGATTCCAAAATTCTACCTCTCGGGACTGAAGGCCGTAACACGCTGCACGCTTGTGTTCTGAGCTGAGTGGTAACTACTTTCTGGGCCTTTCTCTCTTTTTTCTGACCTTCAACCAGCTCTTCACACACAACAGGGCCAGGGCCCTCCATCCCAGTGAGAGCTGTTCTCTACAACAGCAGTCTCCACGTGTTATCACAAACCCAGCTGATGTATATGCAATTATAAACCACACTCTTGCGCTTTTGTATGAATGTGTTATATAAATTGTAAACATACACGAAACTAAAATTTGAAAGAAAGATGAGATAGAGGTGAAATTGACATTTAAAATTTTCATTAATGACACAAGATTTCTTTGCTGTAACATTAATAAAACTTTTCATGTTATTAACTGTATTTTTTAAAACTTTGGTTTAACTTTTTTTTAATTATTTATTTTATTTTATTTATTATTATGATTTTTTAAAGAATGATTTAACTTTCTTCTATCTTTCTTTCTTTATTTCTTTATTTATTTTAATTTGACCAAGAGGGACAGGGTGAGAGACAGAGAGAGGAAAAGTGAGAATGCAAGCCACCACCAAGTCTGGGACTCAAACAATAGTTGGCCATATGGGAGTCCACTGTCCTTAACCGCCATGCCACTAGCTGGCCCCTGGTTTAACATTTTCTGAGTCAATAATTATTTTTAACTTTTTTTTTTTTTTGAGCCGTTTTTGCTACAGGGCACATGCACACACCAGGAAGACAGAGAGAAACAGAGAGACAGAAAGCGAGAAATCACCCTCCCCCCCCCCCACCAGTGGGGATGGCCACACCACAATCCCTTCTCCTCCATTCTCCTCTTGGGATCTTGGACACGCACACACACGCTCCTGGCGTGAGTTTAAGCCACCGGGTCCAGGACTCGAACTGCGGTCGACTACATGGGAATCCTGCGACATAGCCATTACGCCAGCTGCTGGTTCCATGAATCAATAATTAAAGTGCTGATTTCAAAGTTCATTTATTTCCAAGTTAAGATTTAATTATATATTTGAAATTAATTCTTATTGGAAGATGTAGCTCTAAATAGAAGCCTACTGTTCACTGCATGCAATTATATTTTATTAAATTCCATCTGCCAATAATGCAAAAGTTTTTTAAACTCTGTTGTTAAGGCTACATAGTATTACATTGTACAACTATAACTTACTTAGCCAATTTTTTATTAAATTCCATCTGCCAATAATGCAAAGGTTTTTTAAACTCTGTTATTAAGGCTACATAGTATTACATTGTACAAATATAACTTACTTAGCCAATTCCACCCTGATACTCGTTTATTAAATTCCATCTGCCAATAATGCAAAGGTTTTTTAAACTCTGTTATTAAGGCTACATAGTATTACATTGTACAAATATAACTTACTTAGCCAATTCCACCCTGATACTCGTTTAAGTTTTTTTTTTATTATGAACATACTACAGGCACGCACGCACACACGCGCGGCGTGAGTTTTTTTTTTCTTCGCTATAGGGTGCATGCGCTCGCCAGACAGACAGAGAGAGACATAGAGACAGAAAGCGAGAAATCACCCCCGAGGGGGGATGGTCACGCCACAATCCCTTCTCCTCCATTCTCCTCTTAGGATCTTGGGCACGCACGCACACGTCCCTGGCGTGAGTTTTAAGCCACCAGGTCTGGGACGCGAACTGTGGTCAACTACGTGGGAGTCCAACGACATAGCCATTATGCTAACTGGTAGTTCCCAGTTGGTAATCTTGTATATATGTCATTTGCAACTTTGCAGGAATCTCTATAAGAAAAATATCTGGAAAAGGAATTGCTGGGTCAAAGAATGTTGTTGCAATATTGCTAGATATTGTCAAAGTGTCTTCCACAGGGGCTCATACCAGGAAGATAAGGGTCTCCCCCACTGCTTGGCCGGCACATGTATTATCAAACTTTCCAATATTTGCCAGTCTAAGAGATTAAATGTGGTACTACGGCTAGTTTCCATTTCTACTGTTCCTATTTTGAACTGGTTAAACATCTTTCTTTTTTCCTTTTTTCTTTTTTTTTAATCTAGGAGCTGTTTGTGGATCTTTTTCTGTGAACTGTCAATGACATGAGAAAACATAAAAGCTTAGTCTTCAAACAACTTTTTTCAGAATGCTTTAAAATATGAATTTTAGTAATCAATAAGAAAACAGGAACAATTTTTTTTCTCCTACAAAAACAATGTGGCAAGTTTGCAAGATGTAAAGTTACAAAATCACTTATATTTTTATATAGTTGTAATAGAAAAAAGAGCTTGAAACACAAAAAAATAATATTTACAATAGCACACACACAACATGAAGTACTTAAATATATACAGGGCTTATATTCTGATAGCTACAAGACACATTAAAAAATCAAAGAAGAAGATCTAAGTAACTGGAAAAGATATAATGTTTATGAATTTGAAGAATCAATATTATTAGGACTTGATCTATAGATCCAATTGACTCCCAACAAAAATTCCAGAAAGTTGTTTAGAAAATATTAATGGGCAAGGTGGCGCCCGCCCTATGGCAGAAAATATTAATAAGAAAACCCTCAAATGTACATGGAAAGACAAAGCAACTAAAATAGCCAAAACTATTTAGAAAAAGAATTAAAAATGAAGGGCTCATACTACCTGATTTTAAGATTCAATATAAAACTGCAGTAATCAAGACATAGATCGATGAAACAGAATAGAAAGCCCAGATACAGAGCTAGAAAAAGCTGGTCAACTGAGTTTCATGAAGATTTTGGTGCAATTCATTGGAGAGATGATGGTCTCTTCAACAAATGGTAGAGGAGCAAAGAATGTGTAAAACAACAAATAAACAATAAGGCATACTGAAGGACATGTACCTCACATGTTATATACATATTAATTCCAAATGGATCAGAAACTGAAACATAGAAAGTAAAACTATAAAACTTTTAGAAGTAAAATGTAAACTTTACAAGTTTATAAAAAATCCACAGAGAGTGATATTGGGTTTGCCAAAATCACAATCCATAAAAGAAAAAGAAAATAAAAAGATTAAGTAGAGGATGTGGATCAAAATTTCAAATTTTCATTCTTTAGAAGATACTCTTAAAATGAAAAGATTAGCCATAGATTGGGGAAAATATTTACAAATCACATGTTTAATGAAAACCTTGGATCTATAATAAATAAAAGACTCTTAAAACCCAACAGTAAAGGCAGCAGGCATATGTGCATGCCCATGATCCTGAAAAAAAAAGGCTAGGCAGAAGATCATACCTGTTAAGAGTACTTGTCTTGAGGAGGAGCAGCAGTTGGCATAATGGCTATGTTGCTGGACTCCCATGTAGTCGATTGTAGTTCGAGTCCCGGACCTGGTGGCTTAAACTGACGCTGGGCACATGTGCAAGTGTGCCCAAGATCCCAAGAGGAGAATGGAGGAGAAGGGATTGTGGTGTGGCCATTCCCCCTGGGGGGGTGATTTCTTGCTTTCTATCTCTCTGTCTCTCTCTGTCTTTCTGGCAAGTACACGCACCCTAGAGCAAAAACTCTCCAAAAAAAAAAGAAAATGGAGTACTTGTCTTGGGACCTGTAGGTGGCATGGTGGTTGAGGTACTGGACTCCCACATGGTCTACCATGGTTCAACTCCCAGACCTGGCAGCTTGCTTTCTCACTTTCCCTTGCTTTCTCTCTCTATCGAGTGCATGTGTCCTATAGCAAATTTTAAAATAATAGTAATAAATAAAATTTAAAAATACTTTTTTAAAAAAGAGTACTTATCTTTTTCTTAGTGTCTTTCTCACACAAACAAAAAATTATTTTTAAAGAAAAACCTCTACAATAAGCAAACAACTCAATTTTTGAAATTACCAAAGAAGACATATAAATGATAAGTAAGCATATGAAAAGATGGTTAGCATCGTTTTTACCAGGGAAGAATACATTAAAATCCCAATGAAATATCACCTCGCACAAATCAGAATTGTTCAAATCGAACAAATAGAAAATACCTAATGATGGTGAAGATGTGAAGAGACTCTTGCTCCTCACTGGCACAGTTATTTTGGAAAATAGTTTGGCAGTTTCTTACAAAGGACTGACCGTACAACCAACAATCACATTTTCATGTATGTATTCAAGTGAACTGAAAGCTTATATTCACACAAAACAATTTCATCAATGCATATAGCAGCTTTATTCACAATCCCTAAAAACTGGAATCAACCAAGATGTCCTTCCATGGGTAATTTATAAACAACCTGTGGTATATCCATACAGTACAGCACTGCTTATCAATGCAAGGAACAAGCTACTGATTTCCTCAACATGGGTGAATTTTTAAGTTTCTGTCTTTCTTTTTTTCCATAAGTAAACAGAGAGAGTGGGAGAGAGAGGAAGAGAAGGAGAGAGGCACCCCAACAGGGTCTCCATCCTCAGCCAGCTGCAAATCCCAGCATGTTAAGGGCGGTCTCCAGACACACACCCGGAAGCTTCCCATGTGGCTCTGCCTTACAGAGCATTGTGTTGCCGTCTGGCCCACTGGTATGAATCTTAAATGCATTTTACTAAATGAAAGAAGCCATACTCAAAAGACTAGATATGACACAATTCTATACATACAATATTACGGAAAAGGCAAAACTATAGGGATGTAGAACAGACCAGTGGTTTCCAGGGTTTAGAGGAGAGGCTGGCTACAAAGGGGTCAGACAGGGAGACTTTAGGTCAGTGGAACTGTTCTCTGTGATGCTGGGGGAGGGACACAGGACTTCACAGATCTGCCAAAACCTAGAGAACCATACACCACAAAGAGTGAGCTTTGCTGTATGAAAAGCCTTACAAAAATGAATTATGATGGTGGGGGATCCCAAGGTAGAATTCAGGCTATGACCAAAAGGCCCAACTGTATTATAAATGTATAACCTAACCTC